CGGCCGCCGCGAACGGCGGCTGCATCTCCTCGGCCCGAGCGGCCGGCGCCGGCCGGCGAGGTAGCGGCTGCCGCGCGTGCCCGCTCCTCGGCGCGCTCGATCTCGTCCTCCTCGGCCGCCAGCTGCCTCTCCAGCTTCTGCTGATCCTCGACCAGATCCCGGTACGACGACGCCTGGCTGCCCTTGGACGCCGCGATCGCAGCCTCGGCCGCGTCGATCGCGGCTGCGAGGGATTCGAGGTAAGCCGAGCCGGGCAGGGCGTCCTCGAGCTGTGTTGATTGGTGGGCGGGCACAGGGTTGGGTTGGGAGGCGCGGGGGCGATGGAGGGGGAGCGGCGCGCCTGGCACATAGCCGGCATGCACCGATGGCCCCCACACACGTGCCCTGTGCTGTTTGCAGCTTTTCCCGCATCATGATTGACAGAGCGGCTGCAAAGCTTCACGGCCCAGTGCACGCAACCCTTCACCTGGCGCTGCAGCTGCTGGACGTGCATGCGCGCGTCGCACACGCCACCGAACAGGCGCTGGCGAAGCCGCTGGCGCCCTGCCGCTGCCGCGGCGTCCTCGTCCCAAACGTCCCGCCCGCCATACTGTGGGTCGCCTCTGAGCTGCTGCAGCTCTATACAATACAGGGAGCGAAAACATGCCGTTTGTGTGCAGTGCGCGCGGCCCCTATCGGCCCCTTTGCAGGTGCTGCGCAGGCAGTCTGGGGGCTGCAGCAAACGGCGGCAACGCGCCAACAATGCATCTCAACGTCGGCCACGCCACTGCGCAGCAGCATGCTTGCACCGTTTAGTATGATCACCTGTGTCAATCAAACATTCTTTTTGCGCGAGTCTCTTGTACCGAGCTGCCCACTCTGATGCCGATTGGCTCCCCGCTGCATGCATCATCGCTTTGTCGGCATAAGCGCCAGGTAGTAATTGAAAATTATATGAGCACCGCGCACGATACAAAGAACGTCGCTCACTTTATATGAGCACCGTGCACGATACAAAGAACGTCGCTCATGTACACAACAGAATTGTCGGTCAAGATCACCTGCCCGCTGCCCCCACATACCGCTGCCCCACAACTGGCGCTTGCTGGCTGCGGTGTGTTTGACGCGACAGGGTCTGCACTGTCAATGCACGCCTGCCCACTGCGGTCTTGCAAAGCAATGCTCGACGCAATGTGCCAGGTGTCGTGTGCGGGCCTGGTGCTGCTGCATCGGCATCCCGTGATCTCAGCAGTTCAGAATCTGTGAAGCTGCGGGCGCGCAATGTCAACGCGCGTGCGAGCAATGTCGCCAGGCTCCGCACGTTTCTCTGAGCGCCATGCTGACGGTTTCACTGCAAGCTCCGGATGAAGAAGTGCTGCGTGACGTGCAGGGGCTGCCAGGCGAAATTGACGAACCCGACCATCCACTGTTGAACCTGAGCGCGCACCTTATCATCCGGGCTTGCATCACTACATCTTGTTTCAAGGACTCAATGGGAGGTTTGAACTTTCTACATGGCAGGTTATCCCAGCCAGTCCCTGCAGCGCACACTCACCTGGCAGGACCGTCCAAACAAGCATCTGACTCAAACCAGCTTGCGACAACGCTCGTTCAACTGCAAATGTACTGCAATGCGCAATAACGCAATTGCGGAGTCACGCTGGTGTCGTAGGAGAAGCAGAGCTGCAGCTGACCTGAAGCCCGGGGGGGGGGGGGGCGGAAGCGCACTGACCACTGTTGCACCTGCCAGCGAAGCAGCCGCATTCAAATTCGCTGGTCAAGCGGCCTGCAATGCTTGCGTGAATGCTTCCCAATGGCCATGATCGCATAAGATTTGAACCCCAACATTCGCAATCATGCCTGTCACACGCGACGATTTGAGCAGCGTCAACCTGATCTGACAGGTGCTGCCTGTCGGCGGTGACCCCCGAGCGCATCCTCACAATTAAAACATTTCATCATTATGGAGCCCGCGCACTGCCTCAGGGCCCCGGCAGGCACTCCTCCTCTCGACTTCAGCGGCTTCTTTGCCTCCGCAGCTTTATCCGACTGTACAATAACGATAACCACATCTGCACCCGATGAGCCTTCCACACCGGCGGCCAAGCGGCCAAAGGGCCCAGTCTCAGCCACAAATGCAGGTGCGTGCGCCGCTGCACGGTGCTCGGTGTCGTGCGCGCTTTGTTGGTGGGTTGAGGCGCTTGGTGCGAAGAATGCAGCACGCGGTGGCCAAACCACAACCAACTTTCTTTCTCATAATGCCTGCGCTACCCGAGCGCAGAACCCCACGCGCCCTGCTGCTTGGGCATTTTCGACCCGCCTGCAGCGCCGACTGCCTCCGCAGCTGAGCGCGCATTGTGGCCGCCAACCGAACCCCGGTGACCCCCTCAGGTGACGTCCTCCCCGGCCACGCCATCGTGCTCAGCACGTCCTCGTCCTGGATGCGCCGCCAGATCGAGTCCTGGGACGCGGCCGACGGCCAGCACCCCAGCATCACGCTCCGCGTGCGCCCCGGCCAGGAGGCGGCGGCGCGGCGGCTGGTGCGGTTCATTTACGAGGGGCCGGCCAGCATGCCGGGGGCGGGGGCGGCGGCGGGCGGAGGCGCGAGCGGGCAGGCGACGCAGGCGCTGTTGGTGGATATGCTGGCGCTCTCTCACGCCTACAAAGTGCCCACGTGAGCCGCACGTGTCTGCGTGCATGGGTTGCACCGGCTGAAGGGTTGGGGGTTCTGCTGACGTCTAGGGTGTCTGCTGCAACGGATGGGCTTTTGCGCTGGTGACCGTGGGCACGCTGCCGATGGCGTCTGCAATGCTGAGCCCTTCATTACAAGTGTGGTTTGCCGACCCTTGCAATCGCCCTGTGTGCCGCTGAACTGCAGGTGCGGCTCAGCCTGCCTGTCGCGGCTGCTGGCAGTGCCCCTCCCGCAGCTCGCGTGGTCGACCGTCTCACAGGTGGGGCGGCAGTCTTGGTGGCTGCTGCTGCTGCTGCTGCTGCTGCTGCTGCTGCTGCCGCTGCTGCTGCCGCTGCTGCTGCTGCTGCTGCTGCTGCTGCTGCTGCTGCTGCTGCTGCTGCTGCTGCTGCTGCTGCTGATTCTGCTGCTGCGGCTGCCTGTGCTGCATTTGTCAAGGCTGCGGTGCGCACAGCTTCCAGCTGACTCGCTTTTGAAGCCGTGACCACCACCAACACCTTTTCGACTTCAAATCACCCCCTGCGCTTGCCACCGGCGGCACGGCCTGCCGCTCTTTACAGGTCCTGCGCCTGCCGTCCGCGCAGCTCTCCGGCCCTGAGGCGCGGCCCCTGGTGGCGGCCTGCCTGGACCGCCTGCAGGGGGACTTTGGGGACCTGGAGGCCGTGGCTGCCGACCAGGCCGCGCTCAGCAGGTTCTGCGCGCTGCCGTTCCAGGTAGGGGGCCGGGGTGGGTTGGGGGGGCCGGCCGGCGCGGGGCGCGGGTG